TTTTTTTTTATAAATTTAATAAACTGCATTTATTCTGCTCACGCAAAAATGCACGAGCATTTCAACAGTGCTCGCCTGATTTCACACGAGCACTGTTGAAATGCTCGTACATTTTTGCGCGAGCAGAACCAATTAATTTTTTTTTTTTTTTTTTTCGTTTCATTATTTAAATGCTTTTTTTTATTAAATGAAATATTAATAAAGTGTTTATTTAAAATGTAGATGGCAGGAGGCCGGGGGAAAAGTCTTATGAGTCAAGTTGCCGGTAAAGGCAAGAGCTTAATGAAAGCCTTGAGGGGAAAGGGTGACAATCCGGAAGATCCGGATCGCATTGGAGACCGAGATGTCCTTGCTTCCGCCCGTAGAAGAAAGCAGTTAGCTCGAGAAGCAGCGTTACAGCGGGAAGAAGAGAGATTGAGACGAGAAGCTGTTGCAGCTGGAGCCGGACCCTGTCGACCTACACACGATCTCCAGCTAGCTCGTAGTACATTGCCACATGCCGACGATGATGATGACCACAACAACAATCCAGATAATATGGATACTGACGAGGAGGTGGAGGAAGATGATGTACATCAGGATCGTAGAGCTGGTCGTGCCTTACCCTTTCCGCAGCTGCCTGGTCCGGCGTACTTGGAGGGTCCGTGCGAGGGAGGGCCGCAAAATTTAGAGTTTATGCGATGGTTCAAGTCGCATATAGCGATGTACATTTGGGAAGGATATGTAAGTTTTTCTGTCAACACGTGCTTTACATAATTCTTATATTATTCATTTTTTTAGCTAACAATACATGCAATATTTTTCAGGAGCGCCGTGAAACTACACGGTGCGAGTCGAGGACCAAAGCACTCGAGGACTACCGCGGCCCGCAGGATAACACGATGATTGCGAGGCTGGAGGCTACAGGTCTTTACCACTTACGAGACTGTTTTCTGAAGAAGATGAACAAGAACCTCATGCTAGCTTTCGTGGAGAGGTGGCAGACGGAGACGAACAGTTTCCACATGCCATGGGGCGAGATGACGATCACGCTCCACGATGTCGCTTTCATCCTGGGGTTGCGGCTGGACGGACCAGCAGTGTCTGAAATTCGCCCGGTAGAAGAGTGCTCACAGAGTCTTGCATCTGTATTGGGTCTCGGTCTGATGGACACCAATGACATGTTTCGAAACAATGGAGTTGGTTGGGTTAAGGTGAGAGATCAGTTGACCCTTCCCTCCGCCACAGACGAGAAGAAGATGAAGGGCTACTTGATGTTTCTGCTTGGGTCTGTTTTGTTTGTAGACAAAACAGCGTGTAACATGAAGCCGTGGTGGATCCATTTTACCAACGATCTCGATAATGTCGGCAAATATTCGTGGGCTTCGGCATGCTTAGCAAACATGTACCGCCAATTGGGTATTGCCACCCGCGCTGGGATGAACAGTCTCTGTGGATGTGTTATTCTCCTTCTGGTACGTGTACCTTTATAAGTAATTATTTATTTATTTAAACTTCTATTTTATTTATTTATTCATTGGTGTTTGTTTGCAGTGTTGGATCTTTGAGCATTTCCCCTGCTTTCGACCACCTCTTTCCCGTTCATATGCCAAGTTTGAGCCTCGATGCAGAAGGTGGGCCCATGGTGGAGGCAATAAAACCATGCTGCAGGAATACCGGAAAATACTCGACGCCATGACCGAAAGAGATGTGAGTAATAATTTTTCTAATTATGTCTATAGTAGAGTTACGGATTTTTCTAATTAGTTTAAAATATGCTTAGGTTTGTTGGACCCCGTATGGTACCGGTGCACATTACTTACACCCTCGGAGCATGTATTACGGCACGATACAGTTCATGGATATAGTGGAGCCGTACATGCCCGACCGAGCGTTGCGGCAGTTTGGAAGAGTCCAGACTATTCCTTTCCCGATAATTGAATCGAACTTGCCACATAACCGCGGCTTGTTTGGCGCGGGACACAAAGTCACTTTCCACGCTCCTGGCGGCATGTGGCAGAACGAGTACGCCAACTTCATTGACCTGTCGCAATACCCTGAAGCCTGGCCGCCGGAAACAGTTGCCGAGGAGTACATGAAGTGGTACATCGAGCGGACGCACCGGTTCATTAGCAACCCTGATAATGTTCCGCCTGCAGAACGGGTTGTTGCTGCAGTGCCGCCAGACCAGCCGTTCGCCAACGATATAGCTCGGCTCCTAGTTCCGATCGTGTTCGGGTTGACTGGTGACGACGCAACAGAGGCATTCCTGAGCATTCAGCCGCAGTTGAGGGACTTGTTGACGCCACATGCCCACTATTTGCGTCTCTTACCTAGGAGAGGTCGCGGGGGAGGTCCGAGGACTCGGGGTCGGGGGTCGAGGGGTGGACAGTAGAACATGTTATCTATTTGTGTATTAGTTTCGGATTTTTTGCACCTGACAATTGGTATTCGTGTGTTGTGATTTGTTGTTTGTTTTCGGATTTAGTTTTTTGTACGGATGTTTTATTTTGGATTTGCGGATATTTCTTATTTGCTCGTATTTTGTTTACGTTGTTATCGGACTTACTTATTTAGTTATTTGTACGGATTATAATTATGTTGTATCGAACGAAATTATATTTTAATTTGTATTATTAACGAATTAAAAAAAGAAAAAAAAATAAAAAATAAAAAATAAAAATTATAGCTCTGCTCGTGCGTTTTAATTTGTATTAATACCATTGCGTTGAAAAGAAATTGACCCGGTCCCCGGCAGTAACAACTGATTCTTCAGTCGATTTAGTACGTCCGCGAGGACGACCTTTAACCTTTGACTCTGGCGTACCAGCTTCAAATTTTGACTGTGGGGTCCTTTCGGTCGGGGTTTTGCGACCCTTAGAGCCCGAAGAAGATTTAACTTCGGACTTCCGATTCATCATGTGCTCATGTCCGGACAAGTTCCTCTTCATCGAGTTATTCTTAGGTCGTCCCTTAGCCTTCACAAATGACGGCTCTTGTAAATGCGTTGAAGAAGGATTATTTTGGTCCCGTAAATAGTCGGCCGCATTTTTTAGGGACATGTAATCTTTGTTTGATAACTTCTCGAACTCATCGAGAAGAACTTTCTTAATTGCAACGTTGCGATCAAACGGTTCCTCCTCGTCCTCCCATGGATCCGAGTTCGGCTCGACAACCAACGTTCTCCAGAATGGATGTAACTGTTGCGGATAAAAAGTATCTCCCTCAGCAATTTTAACTGCAATCATACACGCACACGGGAGTCCGTGGGTTCGCCTTAGGTAACAGTTGCAACTATCCGGATTCTTTTCCAACTTTTTGTACTCTTTATCCAACAGGTCCAGTGCTTTGTGTGATACGTTATATACCAAAGCACCGAAGCACGACAGTGAAGTACTGTACATCCTGACTGTTCTACTGCTTTCGTTTTCCACCTTCAATTCATTAATTTGAAGGTCAACTTGCGCATCTAGTGCATTTTGAACTGTATCCATAGCTCCAGTCGATGTTTGGATCCAACGCTTCGATGCACGATGTGCACTCTCTACCTTGTTTCGAGAAAACACTCAAATAATGAATAAATGTAACATGTGTATAAAAGATTGTACGTAACGAGTTTATAGTAAAATCAATTTATATACCTGTTAGTCGTCGTGTTACCGAAATGAACGATGTTGTTGGTCCAACACTTAACAAATCTCTCCTTATAAATCAACCACGTTTCATTGATGTAAGTTATCAACTTCGGATATTGCCCGTACAAACTAACTATCTCTCTATAGTTGCATTCGTATTCTTCCTCAGTCTCAGATTCGACTAACTTTGCCCACACCGTCCTCCGGAACAGTACACCCAACTTGGTGTTACCCAAGAATTTTGACGCGTTTGCCTCAACGTTTCTGTTTATGTGATATAAACATAACATGTGATGCGAATGTGGAAACACGTTTGGCAACGCTTTCAGTAGGCCCAACTCACGATCTGTCAGTATCACTTCTGGTTCTATCCCGATTGGTAATATGTCTCGCAAACATCGCAATGTCCATGCATAAGTGTCCTCATCTTCACGTGACATAAAAGCAACGGCAATAGTGAAGTTCCTTCCCACGGGAGTAACCCCAATGATCTCCAAAAGAGGCATTTCATATCTACATGAAGGTAATTATAATTTAGTGATCTCCAAAAGAGGCATTTCATATCTACATGAAGGTAATTATAATTTAGTCAACTCTTATATATAATATAATATAATAAATGTAATTCACATTTAAATAATTATTACCTGTTAGTCTTGTACGTGCAATCCATCAAGATGACGTATGGAAATAACTGCAAAAGCTTTATTGAATTAGGGTGCGCAAACATAACGTCTTGCACTGCATCACCAGCTGGATTTGTTCGATGCCATTTGCTGTATCCACTCTCACTTAGTTCGTGCCACAGATGTTGTATAACTGTTTTTCCTTTCATTTCCTCTCGTCTAATTTTCTGTGATTCATTGTACACATCTCTCAAGGCCGCAGCCGTATCCGGATTCATCTGTCTCAGATGATGCAAAATTTCTTTCGGCTTCACATGGCTCTTTTTCAGTATCTTTGTCACTTCTCGTTGCTCTTCAGTCAGGCGACTTAGCGAACGTAGTCCTTGTGGATATTTATGAGGATTATGATTGTGATTGCCATTTTTTATGGTAAGGCGCCATAATCCATCACGACCCTCTTTACCCCATAGCGCAAAAGGGCATTTACACTTTATTGAACCGGACTTCCGGCTTGTTTTGACATTTGCATTTTTTCCTCGACTCTTATAGGCTCTTTTACAAGTTAAATATTGTCGGCCCTCGTGGTAAGACTGTCGCCTAATCTCATGTCCTTGACTGATGGCCATATTCATCGCCCACTCGACTAGTGCATCTTTACTATCAAATGCAGTCGAAATTGTGAAAAATTCACTGAAATCATGTAGCTCAAATGTTTCAATATCTTCATCCACATCTATGTATACTTCCTGTTTTTATATTAATGTAGTTAGCAAATTATAAAACTAAAGAATAAAACTCAAAAAAAAATAAAAAAAAAAAAAAAAAAAAAAAAATTGCCTTGCTCGTGTGATTTCACTCGAACAGAGAAGTTCTGCTCGTGTGATTTCACACGAGCAAACCTTCTCTGCTCGTGTGAAATCACACGAGCAAATAAAAAAAAAAAAAAAATCAGTGCTCGCGTAAATTCACACGAGCATATAACATTGTGGGAAAAAAACGAAAAACTTACATTCGGGTCTAGGTTGTTTGGATTCATCGCAAAAATTGTTGAATATCTAAAATTTTTCACTTTGAATGTTGAGTTTTATATTTTATAAGATTTGGTAGGAATAGTACAAAAGGTAAATAGTTATGGTAAAAAGGAAAAAAATCATGGTAAAAAAGTGCCTGAATGTTTAATTTGGCATGCATATATCATTACCCAATAAAAATCGGATTATAAGTTCAATTTCTCACCAATTTGTAAATTTGTATTACTATGCAATTGCTGCATATTCACAAATCACAAGGCTGAATCAAAATCTTAAGGAATCGACTGCATTCATCTGCCATCTAAAAGTCTATAGTAGAGAGATACAATAATTTCAACAAATAATAATTATGCATAATTACAACACAAATATCAAAATCAAATAGGAACAAAGTGACTAATCTAGAGCAGTTTAGCTCAACCCTCGTATATTTATACGAAACATGAAGTTTGCAAGAAAATAAGTTAATCAGTAATGCTTCTTCTTCGTACAACATAGAGCTGAACATAGTTCTTCTGCACTGCCACCACGAAATTGATTAGGTGGATCCCTTACGATCATCATCTTCATCGTCATCAGAATCACCACTCTCTCGAAATCGTGGATTCTTCTCCTGTAAAACAAAATAACCGTTAAATATGAACACAGCTAATCTAGAACTCGTCCATTTAGTAAAAGAACTATAGACTAACAGATACTATACACTCAGGCCTCGTTTGGGAATATTAATAAGATTGATTTGAATTGGATTAGGATCATATAGTCCATCAAATCCTACCCTTGTTCCCAAACGAGGCCTAGGAAGTTATATACGTGCCACAACTAAAAATGGTTATAAATATATCATCTATACAGGGAAGAGAAAATTGAAAAAGAACAGAAGTAGCTCAGTTGGGTGTAGAAAATTTACTAAGCAATAAGCAAAAGAAAATAAAAAACTTACAGGTCTGGGTTCATTGTCTGGGTTTCTACGATATACGAAGTCTGACTTTCTCCTGGTGAAATCTGGGCCCCGCCTGTCGTCTTCTCTTTGTCTCTTACGGGGGAAATCTGTTTTCCCAAAGTCATGCATCAAATTAACAAATTCTATGGGGAGAAAAAAGAACAAATTAAAAAAGATCATAGTACCTCCTCTGCCATGCCGATTGTTGCCGCCATGACCATAATTCCCACCATGTCTACCACCACCATCTGCGAGAGTTTAAAGTCAGGTTAAAACGCAGTGACACCACAACTTACACATGTAACTGTTTCACCTTACAGTTTTAATTATACAGCTAAAGGCTTCCTAGCAAAGAAAAAGCAGGTTCCATGCACCCGAAATTCAGCTCAAGATGAGATAATTAGCTCAGGCCTTGTTTGGGTTGGTAAGGTTAGCCATGATTAATTAAATAAATGGACCTTATTGGATGTTTGGTTAGTCCCATAACTTTTCGAGCCGGACCATAATGTTATGTGATCTTATATTGGCTAATCTCATCTTAGGAAGCAAACGTGGCCTTAATGTAGAATATGAAAATGCTTATGTAGATAATGTAGTTTCAAGTAGAAGTCAAAACGGAACACTAACAAATACACACACAGAAGAAGCTCCATCAATGGGATTGTCAATATTCGTTTCACTACTCCAAGTACGGTGTATCCATTTCTTAAAGTGGTAAATATTCGATTCAAGATAAAAATATTTAAATCCAAATAATATATATGCTTCTTCAGAATGAGATGATCTGCTTAATGTGTACCGTTATGCGTCACGAAAAATCTGTTACAGAATAAATAAAATGTTGAAACTCCATGATGAAAAATCTTTCGTTTTGATACTTAAACAGAAGACTGAAGAGTACAAATAAAGAAAACATCGAGTAAGGAGCATTAGTTTTTCTCATGTGACTGAATTGGATTAATGAAAGATGATGTAATGACTTACAGGTAGGTGCCAAAATAGGTTGAAATGAACCCAATGATCCAGCACCATAATCCACTAGCTGCCTCTGTGCTTCCAATTCTTTCTGGACTAATTTACCATAACCACCTCTACGTGTGACTAGTCAAGGAAACTAGTTTCAGATCACTTTACTTACATAAATAAATTAAATAACTTTGACCGTGGTATTCTGGCTGTTCTCTTTCCTGCTAGTTTGAATAAACAAGATAGCATGTACTAAGCTACCAAATAAAGACTGGGGGGTGGGGAAAAGCCAACTATCAAAATGAACAGCTCATACAAACCCATTCAAAGAGATAAATATTAAGAAATTCAAGTTGACAAAAATTTCGCACTCAAGCAAGAAAAAACTTTTTAAGTCTAAGTAAAAAGAACCAAAGAGCGAAAATCCAACAGGGTAGGCACAGTATAGCAAATATATCAAATGAAACGAAGTTTCAAATAATTGGCATAAGGATATCTGGATCATAGTCGGTACGATATTCATCCCGCACCTGAACATAAAATGAATTAGATAAATAAAATAAAATAAAGTCAATCAACAATGTGCAACAAATTGAACGAGCATAACCTGTCCACCACTTCGACCACGGCCCCATTGTCTGCCTTCTTGAAACCCCCAATCAAAGTCGACACGAATAGGACGGTCGTCGAGGATAGTTCCACTGATATATTTAACAGAATCTTCAGCATCTTCTCTGGAGTAGTACCTGATAGGTGCCAAGCTCCATCATTAGTTAAGAGTGATAATAAATAACTACCTTTTTCCTTTTCTTTTCTTTCAAAAACTAAATGCGCATAAGCAATTTAAGGCTCCCATCTAACAGGAAAAATACAAGCTGAATATAAGTTTCTCATAGCATACAGAAATCAGAACTAGGGCAGAAACTTCAAAATTATTTATCATAGTCTTAAATGGGAAGAGTGATTCAAGTCAAGCACTCTTAAAACGCGTAGGGTAATTCATATAGTTTACCGGAACCAGCATTAACTGTTGTTAGGTGTCACTAATACGACTTCTTTACCGGTGAGACCAAACAAAAACGATGGAAAGGGGAAACAATTTTCAGGCACTCGCAATCATTCAAAAGCATCTACGAATAAGCGTAAACAAACGGGCATACGGACACACATTATGAAGCAGAAGCCGCAAGGGGTTTTGCCGTTCTTGTCCAAACCCATGACAATCTTCTTAATCTCTCCGGCACGAGTGAACAGCTCGTAAACTTGCTCCTCCGTCGTGTAAAAAGACATGTTCCCCACATAAATAGTGGTTGAGTTCAGCAGCGCCTCGTCGAATTCCTCCTGCGTACCGGAAAACCTTCTATCCCTGTACGCGGACAGCTTATTCGGGTCCTGAATAAAGCACAAAACAAACTCATCAAACAAATCCAATCCAACACATAGAATAAACTCGACGAGCAATTTTATCAACAATTTTTTTTTTTTTTGTACTGCGGAGAGCTATAATTCATGTTCAAACACCTGTATTAACTAAAATACTTGAAAATTAAAGTAGAAATTCGAACGGTGAATTCAGTTTCTGCTCGGCAAATATATGAAACTATATACTAAGAAATCAGAGGTTACCTTGAAGAGGGAAGCCATCGGAGATTCCCTGCAAGAGAGAGTGGAGCAAACCCGAAGCCCTAACGAAGCTTTGGAGCCGAAGATCCGAAAATTCCAATTCTTTTAAACGGGTCAAAATAAATTCCAAGTTCGGGTATGTTTAGATTAATGGGCCGGGCCGTCAATTATCAAAATCAAATACTTTATTGGGTCGGGTCAAACCAAGTTATTGGGCCGGGTTAAACCAAGTGATTGGGCCCATCAAGTCCTCTCCTTTTTTTCTTTTTTCTTTTTGGTTTTATTACAACCAAAATTTTTTTTTTTTTTCTAAGGAATTATTTGAATATGAGTTGAGGATTAAAATCAATGTTAAAAAAACTATTGAATATAAATTTTATGATACTCAATTTTTTTAATTTACATGCATTCTGTTGAAACAAACGTTAGGGCAACCATAAATAATTCTAATGACATCTTTGTAATTATCTTAATTTTATCTAATAATTTTCTAAAATAATTTTTTTTAACTTTTGAAATGCTATCTGGTGCATCGCACGGCCATAAATACTAGTTAGGTAAAAGAGCATATATATATGTGGGGTGAGGTATATATGTGGTTTACCTAAATAAAACCTATATCTATATGAGCAAAGATAATATATAGCCGTTGCATATATAGTATATGTATCTACACACTCTTCACACCTTGTTTAATTGGTTATGGGAAAGATCGATGTGACCATAGAACATTTCGTGAAGAAACTCTATTCATCATTTATTAGCTTAATTTTCATGTCATATTTAATTTTCACCAGTAAAAAATATATAAAAAAATATTTATAAACTCGATCGTGTGTTTGAATTTACTCGAAGAATCGTCGAGCCTTCATCGTAAAGTCACGTATATATGTATAAGTCCGTTCACACACACATATATATGTGAGTTGTGTGAATTGAAATGCATTTTGATAATACATAATCAAGTGGATTATGTATTACCTTTTCATTAATTATTTGTTTCTTTAAAAAAACAAATTAGGAAAAAGAAAAAACAAGAAAGAAGAAAGAACATAAGCATGGCATGAATTTCAATCATAGTAATAATAATTAATGATGCAAATCAAGAAAATATAGAAGCAGATGATTACATAGACCACCATTACATACATTGTTTCTTGTACGTAACATCCAATAACTAACATTTTTTTCCTCGTTTCTACGTCCGAAATGATGAAATAGCTCATCATTGATTCTTCGAATTCGAAAAAGACTTTAATCACATCCAAAAGGCAACTCTAGAACATTGTAATCTTACGTTAATAATCTTATTGTTTTTAATTTTTTTTTTCTTTGATGAAAGAAAATTAAACGGACCCCGCATTAGTATATACAATAGCCCGTAAATCACACTCGTGCTCGAGTTCAGTTTTGACTAAGGGAGTGTTTGTTCTAAGTGCAATGGCCCCACTATTTTTAAGAGTAAAGCAAAGTCCTTCAAAATGTATACTATAACACCTTCATGTCATTTACACAAACCAACTAATCGAACATTAAAAAAGAAACGGCAAACACCACCCTTAAAAAAAATCATGAACAAATCGGCATTTCTTTGCTTTATTATAGTACTAGTGCTGCCCATTGTAAGTAGTACAGAAAAAGATTATCCCGACAGTTTCCGTATCGAGGTACAAGATGAAGAAGATGACGATTTCGAGGTATTGGGGTTGCTGTATTCGGAAAGTGAGCACGGAAATAAAGTTACCGTAAATGTGGATGAATTCGGTGCAGTTGGTGATGGAGTGTCTGATGATACTCAGGTGAATATGTTGTCTGAATATATGTAATATATCATTTTCTTTTAATGTAATATATGTGTTGTATAAATATATTTTCAGGCTTTTGTAAATGCATGGAAACAAGTTTGTACATCGAAAAACTCTGTTTTCTTGGTTCCGGAAGGGCGCGTTTATCTAGTTAACGCGACGAGATTTAAAGGGCCTTGTGCTGAAAAGTTGGTAATCCAGGTACATATTATACATACATTACAGTTCTTTTCATATTATATTTATACAACTTTCAGTAATAAATGATAACTTTATATGTGCGCAGATTGATGGAACTATTGTAGCGCCAGATGATCCGAAAAAGTGGGACACAAAAAACCCGCGAATTTGGCTTGATTTTTATAATTTAACCAAAGTGTATTTCCAAGGCGACGGAATTATCGACGGCTCGGGCAGTAATTGGTGGGCAGCTTCCTGCAAAAAGAACAAAGCCAATGTAAGTTTTTAATTTTTTGTTTTAAAATTGATATCCTAGCTAGTTTAATCAAAAATCTTGATTATGTGTTATTATTACTAAACATCGTTTTGTTTGTTTGTTTGTTTTTTCTTAGCCGTGCAAAGGAGCACCAACGGTAAGATTTTCCGCGCACTTGTTAAATTGACTCGTCGAATATAACAACATACCATTCATTATGTGGAGAAATATTGATTGATATATGCAGGCTTTAACTATAGATGCCAGCTCAGCTGTAAGAGTGAAAGGGATCACAATTCGAAACAGCCAACAGATGCACTTTGTAATTTCTCGATGCGAATCGGTTCGTGTGAGTGGTGTGGAAGTTTCCTCGCCGGGCGACAGTCCAAACACAGATGGAATTCACATCACTGGATCGACAAATGTTGTCCTAGAAAACTGCAATATCGGGACAGGTGTTTTGATATTTTCTTGATCTTGATTTTTGCTTCGAGTTTTATGACAAAAAGAAAAACAGGGTAAAGTATCGCTGTTCTGTGTCTTGATCTTTAGGCGATGATTGCATCTCGATTGTGAATGGCAGCTCGAATATCAAAATGAAGAATATAAACTGTGGACCTGGTCATGGAATTAGGTACAAAAATTAGTATATTTTTCACCATTGAACTCGAATAAAGTCGAAGAAACTTACTTATGTTGTTTTTTTTCTGTAATAACTACACACCAGCATAGGTAGTCTTGGGAAGAACAACTCGACTGGCATAGTCGAAAAAGTTGTAGTGGATAAAGCTTTTCTTCACGATACCACAAATGGTCTTCGGATCAAAACTTGGCAGGTAAATCAAAAAAAAAAAAAAAAGAAAATCGAAACTTAGTTCTCTGTCAATGAATAATATTTTATGGTCTTATAGGGAGGCTCTGGTTACGTGAGGTCCATACGCTATCAAAACGTGAGGATGGATAATGTCTCGAATCCCATTATAATCGACCAGTTCTACTGCGATTCACCGACTACTTGTCAAAACCAGGTTATTTTTAATTTAATTTTTAAGTCTAAACTGTTCTAATTATTACAACAATATTTAAAATTGTTTTTTTCGATTCAAATTTCTCAGACATCAGCAGTGGAAATAAGCCAAATAGTGTACCGGGATATAAGCGGGACTTCAAGAACCAAAGAAGCTATGAAATTTGCATGCAGTGACTCAGTCCCCTGCACAAAAATACTTCTCAACAATATCAACTTACAGAGGAAAAATGGCACTGTGGAGACTTTCTGCAACTCTGCTTCGGGCTCTGTTTCTGGGAATGTTCAACCTTCCGCGGACTGTTTGTTATCTTCCGACAAAGAAGACGAACGCAGCAGAGAATATATCGTACATACAGAACTATGAGACAACCTAGTAATAGTTTGAGCGCATTCGAAACCTTAGATTCCGTAGCCAAACATATAGTTTTATAAGCGAACACGTCTTTATACAGTTTCCACACTGGATAAGTATATTCCTTACAGCTTCCTTTCTTGTAACATTGTTTCTGTAAGTAATTGTGTTTAGATAATTATGATCCTGTAATATATATCTCTGTTTGTGTCGTAGATAGAAACCGCTGCGATTTCTAAAGCATAATAAACGTCAAACGAAAGTTACGGATGTTACCTGTTCTTGATTTTCACTATTTTGCCAGAAGAATAATTATTTAATTTGACATACAAAAATTAGCAACCAAATAACACCTTGTATACGTATAGGCTGTTTACATGTTTCCAACGAAAGTGAACGAAAAATAAATAAAGCCAAGAAAAATGAATAAAAGATAGATTCTGAATGGGCCTATCTTTTTTGCAGTTACGGTCGTTGCAAAAATGCCCTAATCCAGTATAACTTTCGACAGCAGATGTTTTTACTTCTTTTAACTACCTCCATGGCGGGTAAGGAGAACAGCTCGATAAAGGGCAGCAACATGTAGGAAGCATATCAATACAATAATCAGATCATCAAGTAGACCAAAAACACCTAGTAGCCCTGTGAAAGAAAAAATTATGGCAAAAACTTTTTAAGTCAAAATACACAAAAGCCGAGCAATTAAGAAAAAATAAAGAATCATGGTACAACAGTACCTTCGGGTATGATGTCAACAGGACTAATGACATATATAAAACTGACAATCATCTGCACATTAAAGAAACGAACGATTAGGGCCCCGTGCAAAACAAGGAAACAAGTGTATATACTCCAGCATCAACTATCCATGATAAAACCACTTGATTCGTACAGATAATATACGGTTAAATAAATAATGAACATCTTATATATGTAAAAAATATTAAAACATTCCCGAATGGTTTCATGATATGATTTGATAAAGAAGACTTAACACTGAATATGCACAGATTTGTGTGGAATATGGCAGTTAGAGAACTATGTCTTTTTCCAAAGAACCACTTATCCAGTGAGAGTGGAAGTATCCAATCAAATATACATATCATACTAACAACTTAAATACTTGATTCAAGATAATTGCAGATAAGCAAGAATGTAATACTGTAATGGATTTCATATCGAGCAAAAGTGTATGTAAGGGAGTGACAACTTAACTGCCAAATAAACCCGTGCCCTGATAACAAAAGGAATGGATCTTTGAGGGTCCATCATATCTCGTGACAATCTCCTGAGAAGAAAGGGGAGATCTCGCATTCTCTGCCAAAAAGCGAGACTGTCTTTAATACAAGAATAAAAAGATGCTAAATACAAGCCTAGTTATTATTATGTGTGGGTGTTAATCAGAAAATAACCACTACACGTACATAAAGTGAACATTAAAATCCACCGCAAAATCAGAGTGGGTAAAGATATGCCACTAATCAACACATCTCGCTCTACAACATAGATAATGGACAATATATAACGAGGGCTGAATAATCAAACCAAACTACTCTGTACTCAATTCAAGATCGATTGTTAAAACGAACCAAGCTTGAACACATATTTTCATTTGATAATCTATGAAATTCGACTCGAGATCAAACTCGATTAGGAAAAAAAATATGAAGAAAAATATGTGTAAACGATCAAGCTACTCGAGCATCTCAACTCGAATGCATATCAAACTAAGAGCAAATGCTTGACAAAAAATGAAAAGAAAACCTAGTTCAAACATAACTTTTAAAGCTAGATGAAATTTCAAACAAGCTTTGAACAATCACGTGTTCGGCTCGACTCCATTCTTTTACACCACTAAAAATAAGTATTGTACCTGCATGATACCATTTGAATGTTCTCCATAGAGACGGTTGTATCTTTCAATCCTCTGTAAAACCTCAGCAACATCAGCCACATGGTACTGCCTTGACGAAGCCTCGTTGGGAACCAACAAGGTTATCTCACGTCTGCATAGTGGACATTTACACGGGTGAAGTGCAGCTCCGTGGTCCCAAAGTAGTAAAAAACAACTACCTGATATAAACAGCATCAAAAGTATTACAAAGCTGAACTTCAAAGTTGTAAGAAACAATTACCTAATCGATGTTATGTGATCTATCTCAGATTGCGGGACTACAGGTTTTATACATAGTAAACAGAGTTTTTCAAAATAGTCTTCTTTAAACCTATCCCTATGCCCTAATCCTATTATGCAAACAAACACTTACACTAATCATCCAATTCCTGCAGCAAAATGAATGGTGTGATGTCTTAGCATGAGTATACCACTAATTATTTCCAAAATCACACTTAATTGCTTAATTATTTCAATCACGGAAGTTGATTACGGTTTCAACAAGTGAAGAAGTCCTACCAATCGAATGACTAAAGCAAATAATTTCCATATTTCTCTAGCTATGCATAAAAACCAATCATCAACAATCTAATAACCCTGTATAATATGTTTATTTGCAGAAACAAACCCTGATTTCAGTTTATCATTACACAATCTACGAATTCAAGTAAGTATAGCGTATGATCTTAGAGTCAAAATAAGGACGCTACCGCAGAACCAATGGCTGCAATTGGCTTGGCAAGGAATGTGGAAGGGTGCGTGGCATATGCAACATACGTCATTTTCCGGCGGCCCGTCCATTTTCTCTCTTCAAATCGGAAATTCTCTCTTACCTCTCTCTCTCTCTCTCTCTCCTCTTTCTCTCTCTCACGACTAGGTGGGCTTTAAACTGCTGCAGTTTTGATTTAGGAACTGGTCATAATATGTGAAGATAAATAATTTGTGGGGCTTCAGGTTGTAAATTTGAGAAACTTCAGGGTTCGTTTAGGATAAATACTCAACCAATACTGAAGGTTTTCTTCACCATTTTGACCCCATTAGGTGAGTTTATTATCACTTAACATCCTTAAAATACGAAAATGACTAATTCACCCTAGTTCCTATGGTTATATACTTATAGGGTAAATTATAAACACCCCTGAGGTATGGTCAAATTACAAAAACACCCCTCTTGTTTGGATAATTACAATCACCCCTCAACTCCTCAAATTTAGTGGAATCTTCGAGATTATATGGAATATTATCACTTGTGTACCCGTTTTATTCCATTCAAACTCTACATTATGAAGCAAGATGATCATAATATGTGATTTTTAGCTTGTATATATCATTTTGTGGTGCATCGGAAACTGTATTTTTACACAAAACGAGTACAAACTAGAGCACATTCCACGAAATCTAGATGATTATGTTGAATTTGGCACAATAAGGGTGGAGGTGTAAGAAAAAATCATAGTTGAGGGGTAGATGTAATTATCCAAATAAGAGGGAGATTTTTGTAATTTGACCATACCCTAGGGGGTGTTTGTAATTTACCCTATACTTATATAGTTATATGGTGCATTTGCCCAACACCTAAATAAACTATTATTAAAACAATTAAAAAAAAATTATTATTAATTTATTATAAAAGATCAAGTAAACTATTATAATAAACTAATAAAGTGAGATTAAGATCAAGTAAACTGTTACAAAATAATTAATTAGTATAGTCTTAAAGGTAGTTGTACACACAAAGTGCTTATAATGGTCAATAATTATTATTAATTTAATTATTTATTACTCCCTCTGTTCCATAATATCTGTCTCTTTTGAGAATTTTTTTGTTCCATATTATCTGTCATTTTACAATTCCAATGCTGCATTAATTGCTTATTTTTCAATTTTATCCTTATTAACTCTATAGCACTCTTCCTGCATTAATTAATAAACAAGGGTATTTTGGTCCATCAATATCTATTTTCCTAAAATCAAGAGATATTTATTGAGATTCTTAAGATTTGTGCCAAGGTGAAAAACGACACTTATTTAGGAACGGAGGGAGTATCAAGTAAACAAATTATTTTTTATTATACTTAATATTATTATAATTATACTAATTGTAATTAAAATTTTAATAATAAAATAATAAATTTACTAAAAAAATATTTTTACTATACTAATTATAATTAATTTTTAAATAATAAAAAAAGAAATTAACTAAAAAAATTTATTTATACTTAATATTATTAAAAAATAATTATAAGTAGGGTTTTTGGCACTTTGCACCCTTGAACTACACCCTTTTGGCAGTTTGCACCCTTAAATTGCAAAATTGGCAGATTGTACCCTTAAAACATAAATTGTTTGGCACTTTGCACCCCAAATCATTTTTGGCTTAGAAAAATTACCTGCAACTTGTTGAAAACCTTAAAGATGGGCAAATTCGCAATTCTTTAATTATCTATCTTCTTCCCCCAATTCTTAATCATTGTTCCACCATTTTTATATTTCGTCCTATTAATCAAAAAATCCTAAATTCTTCTTACCCGTTTCCATTTGCCATAATATACAAATTCTGAACTAAAACTCAAGAATGGTCGGAATATATAGACAAGTGTCCGATAACACACCTTCAAAAAATCAAGTTTTATTCCATGGTAACACAATTTTTTTTTAATAATTTTGCAGATCCAAACTATTCAGTGGGAGCACAAAAATATGTCCATCAAGAAACTAATATGCACCACCTTTCTACTACAAAATAAATTTTCCAGTAGCCTTATTTTGTCATTTGACTATTCAAAAAAATAAATTTGAGGGCTCGGCCTAAAATTTCCGGTTACATTATTTTTCATACTCAAAAGAAAAAAAAATGATTTACTATTACTTTTTAGTGTTTATACCGATTTTACCATTGAAAGAAATGGCTAATTTTTTTTTAGGATTTTTTGATTGAAGGGACGAAAGATAAAAATGGTGGAACGGTGATTAAGAATTGAGGGAAGATGATAGATAATAAGAAATTATGAATTTGCCCATCTTCCAGGTTTCCAGTAAGTTGCAGGTAAGTTTTCTAAGCCAAAGTGATTTGGGGTGCAAAGTGCCAAATAATTTATGTTTAAAGGGTGCAATATGCCAATTTTGCAATTTAAGGGTGCAATGTGCCAAAAAAGTGTAATTTAAGGGTGCAAAGTGCCAAGAACCCTTATAAGTAGTATAATTTAAATTTATAATTATTTTCTAGCCCCAAAAAAAAATTAAATTTCAAGTTTGGCCGCAAAATAGTGTTTTCCGTTACATGATAACGGGCATGTAACGGTGAGAACCAAAAGTGTTTGAAATTAAACTATGGAGGTGAACTTTGGTCACTTTGGAACAGCGGGGACCAAAAGTTGAATCCGGCCAAACATTAGGGACCAAACGTGTAATTATCCTTATAATTGGGTGTTAAAAAGAAAAGAAAAAAGAAAAAAAAGGATTATTTAAAAATATTCAGACATGTGGAGGACCAAAACGAAAAATTTACATTTTGAGAATCGAAAAGGTTAAATTGTATTTAATTTCAACCTCAGCTCACCATCCAGTGTGATTATGTTCATACGACAAGAAGGCAAGAAACCCAGCACAGATTATTGGTACAGCAATTATGATTACCATAATCCCCACCAAACCACTCGCATTCAAGTCACCATCTGTAATCACGCCACTATATATTACTAGTAATCCCCAATCCTCTTTTTCTCCGTTTCCATTTCCGTTTCTCACTTCCCCTCGCCTCAAATTCTCACATCGAAGAAGACGCAGTTTTCAGGTTCAGGCTTCTTCTTTGGTCCTGCCGCTTCTCCCCTTCCCCATTGATCAGGTGACGATTAATTTATTTTTGTTTTTTCAGTTTCGATTCGTGTTTTATGTGTTTTGATTTTGAAGTCTGAAAAGATTTGATGAATTTTGCGTTATTTTTGGTTGTTTTGTGTACTTACGATGGACTAGAATTTTAATCTAGGTTGGTTTGTCCGAAACCTACTGAATTTTGTTGTTACCAAATGTTAAATGTGGATGGGTGTATATGTAGATGTACTATCATTTGTAGATATTTTTTTGCCTATATACATGCATTCATTGGAAGATGCATATCACTTGCTGGTGGTGTATATAGGAATTGTGTGTGTGTGTGTGCGCTTAATTATAAATGTGACGATAGCTATGTGAATTTGGGGTGTATTGGATGGAAATAAGTGCATTCATTGGAAGATGCACATCACATGCTGGTGGTGTATATAAGAATTGTGTGTGTGTGTGTGTGTGTGTGTGTGTGTGCTTAATTATAAATGTGACGATAGCTTTGTGAATTTGGGGTGTGTTGGATGAAAATAAGTGGAAGACTAAACCCAAGGGATTAAAACCTCCTTTGACTGTATGATATATCTTCTGTGTTTAAAAAATGAATGTTTGAACACATGTGTGTTCCAATGCGTCTGATGTATTTCCAGGTGTGGCTGTTTACTGCAGCATCAAGACATATATAATGACAAGCCGTGAAACACCCCCAAATAAAAAAAGACAGACAAAAAGGACTGCTTTGTATGATTAAAAGAGTAGTTATATTTATATTATTGAACGTAAGGCTGGGTACAGAAGCGTATAAAACCAAATCCATGATATAGCAAGTGTTTGCTGTGTCATCATCTGGAATGAAAAACCATATGTATTTTTTCCTACGTATATAGGATTATTGGTTATACTCATTGTAAGGTTGTTGATCTGACATGTTTTTTTATTTCTTTTTATATATATTTTCTTGGTTAGGTACTTGTTCCATCAGAGGGTAAAACTCTTCATCTCTATGAAGCAAGGTATATAGCTCTCCTGGAGGAGGTATAGAAACTATCTATGAACAGCAACATAATTTTTTAGGGCTTTGTTAACCACATTTTTCGTGGCAGTACCCCAAAGGAGGTATCAATTGCATGCTTTCTTCACCTGGCTCATTGGACAATTGAATAATGATAATATTCTGTTATACTTACTTTGCAATAGTAGAGTCCAATGCAGTTAATTTTTGGAAAATATAATATTTAATAGTTAATTTTGTATGATTCAGAAAACTTGATTTAAATACTTTAAGAGCCAATTTCTTTCACTGAAGGTCTTAAAGCTTTTATTTTCTCTGTTTGTGCAAAGTCTCTGTTGACTTCTGCTGAAACACCAACTTAAAAACTCGTATCATCTTTTCCTCCAACTAACCGTAGAATAACTATTGGATATATTAGGATCTTCTGGCTATTGAGAGTTCTTGGATAGACAAAGGTCTTGGGTTTACTGTGTACATCTATGTTTTAAAACGAGATTTTGGACTTTGGAGTCAAACAGGGTCCAACATTGGTTATCTTTCCTATTTACTATGATTGGTTAATTTATTTGTGCTTCCTATTTTTGTTCCACATCAATGAAGTATTAAAAGCTTCAAGCCCAATTCTTCATCAATAAAATTTCTCCTACATCCGACATTCCCTTTTTACTTCATTACCAACTAGCACCCTTGACTTTAATCTATCTTTGATATTTTCTATCTGGAGAATTTTGATCAATTGAATTTCAAGAGCCGAACCTATTATCTATGCTTTGAAAGTTGAAATAAGTGCTTGAAATGTGGATCATAATCGTATCCCTGGGGTGTTAGTTTTGGCTTCGAGAACTTAATCCCAAGCATCAACCTATCTCGCGGCGTTTGTTTATTTTTATCAGATAATTGTTTGGTTAAAGTGATAACACATTAATTGTTTTGAACACTATATGAATAGCACTTTGTACATGTTTTGAATATGGTCCCGGATGAAGCCGACCCTTGAAATTATTTGACTTCTCTTTTTTAATCGAATAAGGCGTAATTTTTCTCTATCTCTTTAGCGGGTAGAGTTGATGTAACTTCTCTCTCTATTTTCTTGATGCAGTCTTTGTTTCAGAAGAACAAGCTCTTTGTACATTTTGTGTTAGATCCAATTGGGATTACTGGTTCATCAGGAGAAGCATCATTTGCTGCTCGATTTGGTTGCTTGGTCATAATAGAGAAAGTGAGTGTCCGTGCTTGTCATTTTTGTTTGTATCAAGATACAAGTTTACCATATTCTGCATCTTATTTTGCAGGTTGAACGTCTAGACATTGGAGCGTTAGTCGAGATAAGGGGTGTAGGTCGAGTAAAAATATTGGAATTAAAACAGGCAAGTCATCTTTCAATTTGGAGTCCTTTGATACATACTGTTAGCTGTTACATAACTTCTTACATATTTCCTTTACCAATATTACGGGCCTTTGCATGGTACTTTAATGATTGTGAACCAAAAAGCGAAGGATTATGTGCATTTTTTTTATTGGAGATATGATGAACACCCTTTGAGCATGTGCTAGTGATGCATCATTTATTAGTGTCATGTTAGTAACAAATAGTGCTACATAAATGCATATATAGAAGCTTGGGTAGTGGAAAGGGGCAAATCTTTATATTGTTTCTGGATGAAGCGATATAATTTGACCAATTTCTGGACTTATAGGCCCTTTGCTTTATACAGAAAGGGAAACATACTTGTTGGAGAGATAACCAAAATACACAAAAAAAATTGTATGTGAAAGTTTTGAGGGATAAGCTGGTCAAATTGTTTGGTGGAGCACCATTTGATAAAGCAATGACTTAAAAAGATAATTAAGACACGCTATTAATGTATCATTTTGTCAACATTCTAACATTTCCATAGCAGTTTTTTTGTTGAGATCTAGGAATTTGTAATTCCATAATTTAGGCGTGACTGGGCAAGAGTTGAGTTCATTGGATATAATACATAGTTAATACAATCAGCTTTGGGGGTGGTAAAAGCTGGTTAAGAATTATAGCACTCAATCTTATAAAGCATACATACACGTATGTGTACATAAACATAGGTTTTTGCATATATTACAATGCATATTCAATTTTTGCTTGTCCTTTACTTCCCATTTTTTGGCATGACAAACTTGAATTTCTTTATTCCGTTTTGTAGCTTTAAAAGAATTTTTACCATGGTTCGTTCAAAGATAAGGTATGAGTTAATCGCCGATGAACGTACACGACGTGAGACGTTTAAGAAAAGAAAGACGGGTTTATTTAAAAAACTGAATGAATTGAAAACCCTATGCAACGTTGAAGTTTGTGGCATTATTATGAATGGAGAGGGGACACAGTCTGAAGTTTGGCCTTCTGCACATGAGGCATCTGAAGTAATTCAAAAGTTCATAAATTTACCTTCTTCTTCCCAAACAAACAATATGACTGATCAGGCCGGATTCCTTAGGCAAAACTTGTCTAGGTTATCCAAAAATTTGGGTAAAGAGACAGTGAAAGTTCAGTCTCTAGAAAAAGAACTACTTTTAGTTGAGTGTCTGACTAAAGGAGAGGCGGATGTGAGCAATTCTAAAGAATTGCATGAGATGCTTCGCTTGTTGGAGAGGAAGATTGGAATGATTGATCGTAGGATTGCCGATCTTGAGCCTTCTAGCTCTAACAGGGTCGTAGGTGCAAAAGAGACAAATATCGAACCTCAGCATGGAAAAGGAAAGCAGCCCCTTTAAGGATTACTTTTGGAATTCTATCTGAAATTAAGTCGTCTTTACTTAAATTCTCCTTGAAGATTTTTTAGAGATGCAATTCTAAGGTCTGCAGTTAATACTTCGTCATACTCATTTTTCTTTGTGCACTATTTTGATTTTCTTGGATATTATCTTAAATATTGGTGTTCACTAGTGTTTGCTATTAAGTAGATCAATTGTGCAAACTTTTCTGAAGAACTCCATTTAAAATCACGCAATGGAGAGAGAAGACAAATATATGCACTTCACAAAGTTATATCATCAGGTTGGTCAGGACACGCTTTAAGTTATAACTTTGATGAAATGTTCTAAAACTTCGTAGTTTAACCATAACAAGAAATACATTATTAGATATTGTTTTTTTTCCTGAACAAATTATTCGATATTGTTAATTTGTTATTATGTTATCCCATATGCTTATCCAGCTATAGTATCTCTGATAGTATATATATATGGTGAAGCATAATTCTAGATTTTGCTAATGAATTCCATAACATTTTATCTCACATCACTTACCGTTTCTAAATGGAAACATGCATTGTAGTAACTTTTGATAAATGATTCCGGAACAAGTTTAGACCGTATTACTTGGTTATCATTAATAATACGTATAATCGTATATTAACTATTCTTTCCACATTTAGTCTAAATTGTCACTTATAGGAACATATATCGCCAGTGTAATTATCTTGTAGTGCTACTTGGATGGAGTTATTTACTTGTTTACAGAACATTGTTACTCGAACAAAAATCTTCAGTGCAAACTTAATAATATTATTATTAGTATTATACTTGCTTGAACGAGAAAGTAAGTCGTTAGGAAGTGTTGGTGCATCATTTTCATCGATAAATAACTTCAATGACTATGTAATTTGATATACCGTCATTAATTCTCATCCTGAGAAAACAGTTCAGTGAATCGGTTGAGATGAAGTTACTAAGACGAACAAGAATTCTGGGATTTGATCTGTGGACCTGGAGCAAGATTATGCATGAAAAAACTGTCTTTGTAACAGTCATTGGAATACGATGATCAGAGCTTTTCAACCTGACATCCTCAGCTGGAACTACACATAATCTGAAGTTGCATTTGTAATCACTTAATCCCGCTTGTGTTTTCTCACTCAGAACAAATGCAATGGAGAATGGGAAGTTAAAATGTGTATGATCTGAAGAAGTTTGATTCTGTTTGAAAAAATTGAGTTATTGTGTGCAAAAATCTATTTACGCTATAATGAAATGCCGATAGTTACCTAACCAGGAATTGATCTTATTCATATCAGGGGCTGTGGGTTGATGTTGCTCATTACTATTTTTGTTATTATAGTAATGTTTCACTCTCCATGTTCTGAAGCTGGATCTAGCTTTACACAATAAATCCTTGTGTTGAATGACTACCTCATCTAAAAGCTTAAGCTATTAGTGAGGTGAATCATTTAATATTTATATCTCCAAGAATTTTCCGTAAGCTGATACGTGTTTACTATAAATGATAAAAATATAAATTTGTTATCTTGCAGCTTTCCATGTTAATTCCTATCGGTTGCTTATAAACTTTGCAGGGACAGCCTTATCTCACAGGCGAAGTTGCACCACTGCAAGACAATGTTTTGCACAAAATGACAGAAATAAGCTCCAAAATTTCGGAATTGAAACAAGCTCTTCATAGTTTGACTATCTTGGAGATAAAGTTGAAGGTTATTTCTCTCGCTCTCTCTCTCTCTCTGAAGAGTCGAGTTGTGTGCATGCGTGTTCGTGTGACTGATTCTGTACAATTCTTTCTGCTGACTGAGTTTGTACAATGTTGTACTTGGATTGAGCAATTATGAAAAATAGGTATTACCTGAACACTATTGATCTGGTGAACAATTACTTCCCCGAAAGCTAATGTGCTTTACAAGGAAGACTATTTTTACGACCAAGATTTTTCTTGTCATTGGCCAATGATAAAATATGCGGGATTTCAAATTTATACTCCATATAGTTGATTAAACATGTGGAATACTTTATGATCATCTTAGCATATTACATTTTGATCCATTTCATTGTTACGATTCTTATATTTCCATCTTCTGGTGCTGCCTTCAGTTTCTAAATCTTAGATTGATGGAGAAAGACATTTTTCACTTTTTGGGTCGAAGATGGGCTGTTTCATTAACTGGGTTGCTTTGATTTCATGATTAAATTTGAACAATTTAACAGACCCCAGGGGAAGCACTATTGCAAACACAAACCGTAAGTTCTCTTAATTGGGCTGAAAAGCAATTACCATTGGAAAGCATCACAGATTTCATTCCACCTGTCGCTGAGCGTGTTTCTTTTGTAGCACTTCAACCAATTTCAGGTAAAACATCACTACATTTTAAAAAGTTTACTGCTATTGTTTAATCAATTATTAGAACATGCATCGTACTATATCCGACACGGCCTTCTCCATTCTATACCAAATCCTTAACTGGTCAACGAAATCTTAGTTCTTGGTTGTGTCTGTTATGTGCAACATCATCGACTACACAGAATCAAGATGCTACATGTTTATTGTAGAAAATGAGGACCGAGATTCGAAATCTGACAAAACTGCATGTACTAATCTTCTTCTGGTTATGTATTGATTTGTGTTTTATTTTTCGAGACGGATGCATCTATAGTGACAAATACTACATAAGTTGATGCATAGTTTTGACTCTCTCTTTCTCTCTCATGGCGCAGGTGCAACTCTATCGGAACTGGCTAAGTTACAGAGAGAAAAACTGGCTGCAATGGATATAAGAGATACAATAGAAAGACTGGATAAATCTATTGAACTAACTAAACACAACATCTCCATGTCAGCAGCCAAGCTTGCTATTCAATCTCTCGACAAGCGTTAGGCATTGTAAAGTTGTATATAAGATAAAGGCATAAAGCTTATTAGTGTCCATTGTAATGTAACTCCGGTAATACGTATTAGTGTTTAACACCAATTTTAAAAGAAATACCCATGGTGATTTATTTGGGGGTTTTAGCTCGTAAATCCCTTTGGCTAGTTATACGGTTCGGTCTTCAGTACTATACTATACTTTAGACACTGCGCTTCCTTTTTAAAGCTTATCATATCAAAGACTTGTCTGGCATGATGGAAAGGGTTGAAATGTCTGGAATGCCCTTCACTTTATATCAGAATTACAATTATACTCTATTCCTGTTTAAAAAAAAATGCTTTTAGTCATAAAAATGCGTTCTAACGAACCCGTTGCAATACTTATTTATTTATTTCCCTCAACGTTTTTCAATACTTCTTTAAAAAAAACAATGTTTATCAAAGGCGTGTTCCAACAAACATTTTTGAAAAAAAACGTGGTCGACAACGTTTTCGGACATCTACAATTTTATATTTGTATCCGTTTGTTTCAAAATTACTGTAAGTCACAACGTTTTATTTATATTATATAGATAATTATATAAAAAATTACATAATTTCGTATTATAAATATGAATTGTTTTACTACAAGCTGGACTACCTTGAGTCCATGTCATCAATTTTTATTTTTTAAATTAAAAAAACTGTTCTCCCAAACAAATATAAACTTCGATTTAGGGTTTTATAACGCGAAAACGTGCCCTACAGTATTCATACTCCCATCCGCCGAGAGAGCGACGGTCGGCCGTATCTATTCTCACAGAATTTTCCCTGCGCTGCCGCCGGTGAGCTGCTGTTTGTGCTGCCAGATAATTTTCTCTTTCCAATTCCTATAAAACATGAGGCCGATTTTGATGAAAGGGCACGAGAGGCCCCTCACTTTTCTCAAGTACAATAGAGATGGAGATCTGCTTTTCTCCTGTGCTAAGGACCACAATCCCACCGTTTGGTTCGCCGACAATGGCGAGCGCCTCGGCACCTACCGTGGCCATAACGGCGCTGTTTGGTCCTGCGACATTTCCAGTAATTTCGCCTTCTCCCTCTTGTTTATCTATTTGTTTGATTTTGTTTCGTAATTTATGATTATTTGGAGAATCTAAGAGATAGAAGGTCGGGTTTGCCTACAAAATCGGTTGGTTTTCTGTGAAAATTACATTTGATTGGGCTTATTTGACTGTGAGCAGTTATCTGGATTTACAATTAGGTTAAGAATTTTGGTTTACATATGTTAATTGTGTGGCACCTATTTGATTTGAATAAGCTCGTTCGATTGTCAGCGAATACATGTGGAAAATAATGCTAGTTCAACACTTCATATTGTTTTCTGCTTTTCTGTCAATTAGAATGAACGGAGATGAAAGATCTTAGTCGGGTTTATCTAAACAAGATTTGAAGCAACGAGAGCTAATTTTTGTGCAAATTGTTATTTCCCCCCCTTTTATCCTGTTATCTGATTAGCTATTTAGTTGCCAGACTTTTATACAATGCAAATATATATTCTGATACCTCTCCTTTGTGTATGCATCAACATGCGAGAAAAAGTTGCTTTTATTGAAATATTGAGAACATCTCTTGCAGTGTATGAATTTGTTGATGCCTTTAAAATCACTTGATGGATCATTTTTGTTTCCTACAGGGGATTCCTCAACACTTATAACTGGAAGTGCAGATCAGACTGCAAAGATATGGGATGTGAAAACAGGAACTCCGCTCTTCACATTTAATTTTGATTCACCAGCTAGGTCTGTTGATTTTGCGGTTGGTGATAAGCTTGTAGTCATAACTACAGATCCTTTCATGGGATTGTCATCTGCCATCCACATTAAACCAGTTGCTGCAGATCCGGACGACCGTGAGTGATTCATTTCTATGTTATTTACGATTATGCCAGAATTATTAACTTCAGTTTACGTAAAAGTTGAATTTGAAAAAGTGAAGTTTTTGGTTCAAGCAAGCAGTATCTAGTTGGTACTAGAAATACTCTTTTAGAATGTCATTGATTTGTACAGTGATGCAAGATTAGGGTATTATCTAGATGAAAATCTAGGAGATAAAACATTGGCAAAATGTATTTGAGGCTTGAGCTGCAGTGATGATTGAAACTAGTTCTGGATAATTTACGATGTTGATATTCTATGGTGAAGATAGGTGCCAAAAGTAGTTTCCTTATTCCCGTGTGTAGGATGTGCAAGAAGAATTTGTACCTTTGAAAATCGGATATTGTTTTATTCCACTTCACACAATTACTTCTAATTGTTGATTAACGAAAACTTAAATGTATAACCAATGAATGTTATATCTAAGAGTTAATTATTGTAGCATGTATGTTTAAATTGACAATATTGGTCTTGCTTATTTATTTTGCAGAGACTGGTGAATCAATTCTCGTTCTTAAAGGTCCGCAGGGAAGAATCAACAGAGCAGTTTGGGGACCTCTGAACAAGACAATCATAAGTGCTGGTGAAGATTCAATAATTCGTGTCTGGGATTCGGAGGTTAGTCTTCCATTATAGACTTATAGCTGGCTGTAATTTCAGTGATGTGGTTTGTGATGAAAGATTAACTTATAACTCAGTTATTTATGTATGTTTGCTGAATAATATAATGTCATTTTTCAAATGACAGACTGGGAAATTATTGAAAGAGTCTGACAAGGAGGACGGGCACAAAAAACCTATTACATCACTCTCAAAAGCCACAGATGTTTCACATTTTCTCACTGGTTCCTTGGACAAGTCTGCCAAGGTAGTTCCCTTTTTTTTTTTCCCTTTTTTTTTGTAATTTTATTATAGTATCTCCGAATAGAGATCCAGGTCTATAGTTCTTACTATCAATTTGCATCGGCTGATTTGTCCTCATTTATCAGCTTTGGGATTCAAGGACACTGACACTTATCAAGACCTACGTGACAGAACGTCCAGTAAATGCAGTTGCAATGTCTCCACTTCTTGATCATGTAAGTATCACCAAAAAATATCATAGCATGTGCGGTTATCGAGTGGTTTATTCTCAATAATCATATATTGAGTATCGATATTCTTTACCTCTTCAAGTTGTTAAGGTATATATACCTATATTTGTTTTTTGCATTTGCTATACTCTCTTAACTAAGGTAAAGAAACTGAGATCTGAGATTGGGGATATGTAGTTAGTTCTAGCTCTTTGTTGTACCTGCAATGGCTGATTTTTCAAAATATTGTCAATGTTTAGAGATAGAGTAACATGATTTGCTTGGATTTTAGGTTTCCATTATTTTATATACAACTCCTCATAAATGTAAAGTATATGGCATTTATAATGTCCAATTTCCTTGATAGATATTTGTTATTGATTTTGTGATTTCATCGCATTTATAGGTGGTTCTTGGAGGTGGTCAGGATGCATCATCTGTTACCACCACTGATCATCGTGCTGGAAAGTTTGAGGCAAAATTCTATGACAAGGTAAAATTACGTCTACATAAATTCAGAACAAAGATATTATAGATGAAGTTAAGGCTCATGTTTTTTGATTGTCCTTGTGTATATAGATCCTTACAGAAGAAATTGGAGGTGTGAAAGGCCATTTCGGACCCATAAACGCCTTGGCATTTAATCCCGATGGAAGAAGGTGAGAATGTTATTTTTTCCTTGTGCTTAAGTTTTGAAGTTCATATATTTCTGCTGGAGCTATGTTTCGATATCTGGCGTTGAATTTTCAATTTGCTTGGTCGACCATGAGTAAATAGATAGGACACTTGACCTTGTTTAAATGGAGTACCGTTTTCTAACATGATAACTTAATATAGTTCGAGTCTGAATAACGATCACTTCCTTGTGAAGTGTGTCATCAACTGTAGCTTCCCTTGTAATAACATTTATAGTATATATATTATATGTTTCAATCTAATCCTTTTAACTCAATCTCACCATTTTTATAGTTTCTCGAGCGGAGGTGAAGATGGATATGTGAGGTTGCACCATTTTGATCAAGATTACTTCAATATCAAGATTTAAAGAGGAAGAACTCCGTCTGTGGTAGTAATTTTATCTCCAAATTGGGGTCATGATATTTCTGTTGGAGCCAAAATACACTAGATTTTACTTACCAAATTTATTGTATTCTCAATCTGGATTTCGTAGTTTCTTTTTTTGGCTGAAGTTAGCACTCCGGTTGGTAGGTATATTTTATGACGGACCATCAAAAACTCCGAGCAAAAAGAAACCTATGTACTTTACATATTTGCGCAAACACAAGTATTTTGACGCCTCGCTGCGACATTTGTTTTCAATTAGTTTTTTTTTTTTTTTTTTTTTCCTTTAATCGTAAAATCTGATCAATGTTAAAATCGGTCCCGTAAGGCAGAAATATTCGGTAATCAAGGCGTTGTAATGTGAAGTAATTAAACCAAAAGAATTATACACTATAATTAAGTGTTCTAACCAAAGTTGAGTGCAGGTATTCTGTGCAGAAAAAGAAAAGAACAAAAGGTCCAGATCATTATAAATAAATAAATAAAAATAGAAGATAATAAATAATAAAAATAAATAATAACTTCATCATTATTATTTATTATTTGAATAAATAATAAATAAAAGAAAAAAATATTCTTTATGGGTATGTATGTATCTATTTTCGGCCCAATCCCCTTTTATATTAACTAAAAAAGCCCAAGGATAAATAATTGATTTCATTGGGTCAAATCTGTTGGCAAAGTTTTCTAAAATCGAAACCTACCCCCCATCACTATTCCTCCTCCTCTTTTCCCCGCCGAGAGAGCGACGGTCCGCCGCCTTCTCCCTTCTCACCGCCGCCTTTCCAATTGGAATCACCGGCAGCTTAAATTGAACCTGGGAGTAATCGGAAACAATGATGGTTGATAAGAAGCGAAAATCGAGGAACGGAGCAACTGAAACTCGTAAGAAGAAGAAGACGAGCAACAAGAAAAAAATTGAATCGAAGGACAACAGAGTTCGGCGTGGGCCCCATCTCCCGAACGCTATTCGGAGGGAGGTCGACCGATTTAGCCGCAGTGGCGAGGGAGAATCCGCTTCAGATGATGAACAGGTTGATTTTGATGATGGAGTTCGTAACGATTTCTATGAATACGAAGAAGATGTTCCGGAAGAGGAAACGATGAAGAACAAGCGCTTTGACCCTGTTGAGAACTATCAGTTTGAGCTTCCTGAAAATTTTCAGGTTTTTATATTTTTTTTACATTTGCACAATTATGAATTTGCCTCTGGTGTACACTTACAATTGAATTTTTGTTGTCTTTGATTCGTAGGACGTCAATGTCACATCCGACGAAGACGACGAAGATGATAATCTCGAAGGAGACGATGAAGATGAAACCGAAGATGAGGGAAGGCATGCCAGGATGCTGGAAGAGATTACTGGACTCCCCAGTGATGCTTTTGGAGGTACTCTTTTTCTTTCTTTTACTTGGCATTGCATCGAGGCTTTATAATTGTGAAATTATGCATGTTTAGTGTTCACTTTTTAGGATTAGCAAACTTGGTTATTTCGACTTTACAGCATCATATATGTATCTCCAATAAGTCTACTTGATGCTTCAGTCTGAAAATTGATTTGAAAAGAATCATGTTATCTTAGTAACCGAGCTGGATGGTGTATAACAAGAAAAACACCAGCCTTAGTGGAAGCTTATCTGAAAAGTTTGTCTTACTTAGAGAAATAGTCTGGCTTGCTATTTGTCACTTATCCTCGAGCATGTGGCTAGCACACAACCTTGTTGCAGGTTCTGCAGAAATTTCTGCATATTAAAACGATAGTTGCGACTATTTAGAAAGGAATGTGAATGGACAATAAAAAGAGATGTTTAGTTTTTGAAGAGAAGTGGAGAAAGTAATTACTCCCATCTGCTGGTCAGAAACGAATTTGATCTCCCCAACACTCAAAATTTTGTCCTATTACGTGAAATTTCATTGTCATAATGTCCAAATGTTGACCCTTAATCAGACTTATTAGGTGATATTGTTTTCTTGTCTCACTCCCTACCCCCCCCCCCCTTTTCTCTCTCGTGTGTGTGTGTGGAACATTTTTTTTGCAAGTGGTTAGCAATTTTGTGTCTTTCTGTGGATTGTTTATTGTATCCTCAACTAGATCTTTAGACCATGTTTTTGAGAACTTACAAATCTGCCTCCAAAATCCCAGGTAAAAAGAAGAAAGATTTCATAATATCTGAGGCATATCCAGAATCTGAATACAATCCTAGTGGTGATATTCTTGATGGTGATGGCCGGATTAGTATTGAGGATCTTATGGACCCACTGCATGGTAAGACGGGGTTCAGCAAACTTAGGAAGAATTTGCACCGTATGGACAAGAAGTCTATTCATGCACCACTTCCCAAGACGGATCAAGATAGAATCGAGCGAAAGGCTGCTTATGAACAATCTAAAAAGGATATTACCAAGTGGGAACCTGTCGTCAAGAGGAATAGGGAGGCATCTACTTTATATTTTGATGAAGACGTGGACTTAGGATTTTCAACTATAGGTGCAATTGCTTCTGGGTTTAGACCAAGAACTGATTTCGAGAAAAAAATTGCTTCTTTTGTCAACCAAAATGAAGTTGTTGATGCTCATAAGAATGATGGCGCAAGGCTTCTTGAGCTGAACAAGGTATGCAAGTCCTACATATATTAGGCCCGATCCACCTCGTTTTTCGTTATTATATTCTTCTAAAATGTTTTGGGCAATCAACAATTATTTTCTGATGGTTTGACAGATATCCGTTGAAGAAATGAAGGATAGACAGGAACGGCTTGCGAAAATGCGTAGTTTTCTCTTTGCCCATGAGATGAAGGCAAAACGAATTAAAAAGATCAAGTCCAAAACCTACCATCGGTTGCTAAAAAAAGACCGTAAAAAGGCGGCAGAAGCTGCATTTCAAATGGATCCTGAAGCTGCCAAGGAACAAGCAATGAAGCAAGAGTTCAAAAGGGCCGAGGTAATTTGATTTTAATCTCATTTAACTCCTGATTCATCTGGGTTCTGAAGAATCTTTCTTGATGTAATTTGATTTGTTTACTACAGGAACGAATGACCTTAAAACACAAAAACAGCTCTAAATGGGCAAAGCGAATCTTACAACGTGGTCTGCAAGTCCAAGATGACGCAACCCGAGAAGCTTTTAACGAACAGCTTAATCAACATGCTGCTTTGACGAGAAAAATGAATTCTGTGAAAGAGAGCAGTGACAGTGATGAGAGCAGTGACGATGATGACAGTGATGACATGTCAGCCGGTTCAGACCAGGATAAGACATCGAAATTGCTAACAAAAGCCAAGGAGAAGACAATGAAAGTATTACAAGGGGATGAAGAGTTGCCGAAGTCTGGAGTGCTTTCCTTACCTTTCATGGTAATTCAGGCGCATTTTGCACGTATTTGTTCGCCCATCTAAAATATATGTAATTGTCTGTTGGTGAAACTAATCAAATGCGGTTCCTTGTTTTTGCTCTGCACAGGTGCGTGGGTTGAAAAAGAGAAAAGAGGAGGCTGATGAAGAAGCAAAGCGTGCCCTTGAAGAGTATGACTCATCATTGACACAGTTGGAAGATAAAAACATGTCAGGAAGTTTTGACAAGGGTGCCTCGAGTGGTAGGAGGACTTTTGGTATTCCCAAAAAGATTGTTAGTGAAACGAGTAAGAAGCAAAAGTCGGATAACTACTATGGGAACAGTGATAGTGAAGATGATTTCGATGCCAAGGAAGAAGATGTTACTGAACATAATCAGGATTATAAATCTCTTAGAGAGGTGGAGGTTGACCCTAATTTGCTTCGAGAAGAGTTTGGGATGAGTCAAGACTCCGTGTTTAAGGTGATAAATTTTTCCCATCTTCTATTTCCTTTTAATCCAATAATAAAGATTCTTATTAATCAGCAATTTTTAGTATTTTTTTAATTCAAACAGTTCTTGAATTAATGTTTGCATGGCATGTGCTAGAGAGAAATATGAAAAAATAATTTATTTATCGCTAAGTTTATCATTGTGTTCTCTATGTCTGCTATGGAAAAAAAATGGCACCATTGTGTGAAAGCCATACATTTCCTATTCCATGTTTTCTTAAATGTAATTTTAAGCTGGAATCTGCTGATTTTCAGAGCTTTGAAGATGCTGAAAACCCTGAGCCCAAGTCGACTTATGAAGTTGCTTTCTTGGCTTCAAATTCATGGAAAAAGGTGTGTTTTTATTTGGATTTTGTTACTATTTCTCACACATGATGAAGCTTATCTTCAAATATTAACAAACATTACGGATGATGAAATAGATGAGACAGCCATCAGATACTAATAAAAAGAATGGAAGCAGCAACAGTATTCTCCAGTCTGGAGTAACTATAGAAACAGTGGAACACGATCAGAATACCGAGGTATTTTCTGTTCACTTATGATTCATATGCTCCGTTATCCCGTCTAGAAAATGTGTGTTCATGTTTCTTTTTTTCTCGAAACTATTAGCAGGAAAGCGGTGATGATGATGACGCTAGTGATTCAGATAGTGGTGGTGAAATGGTGGATGGAATATTATCTTCTGGTCCTAAGTCTGCTGCTTATGAGCTTCCATCTCAAGCGGAACTTATTCAACGTGCTTTTGCTGGAGATGATGTTGAGGAAGAGTTTGAGAAAGATAAGGAAGCTGTCTTAGACGAGGAAAACCCGGAACCTGAAAAGCCTGTCTTACTTCCTGGCTGGGGTCAATGGACTAACGTACAGAAAAAGAAAGGCTTACCATCTTGGATGGTGCAAGAACACGAAATTGCCAAGAATAAAAGGTTGGAATCTTTAAAGAAGAGGAAGGATGCACATCTCAATAATGTCATCATTTCGGAGAAGTTGGATCGAAAGGTTAGTCTAATTTTTTATTTTTTTTTTCTATAATTGAAAATAAAATCTTGTGTTGTGCAAAATTACGTTCTTGTCCATCCTCGTATTGCTTTTTCAATACTGTTTTTTGTTCTTATAGGCTGAGAAACTACATACAAAGACACTGCCTTATCCTTTTACATCTACGGAAGTTTTCGAACAAAGTATCCGTATGCCAATTGGACCAGAATTCAATCCTGCAACTGCTGTTGGAGCTCTTAACCGCCCAGAGGTTCATTTCTGAAAATTAATCAAATATTTACATGGTTCCCATTTTCGTGTAAATTAATCGAATTTTATGATTTTTCTTTCTCTTGGACAGGTGGTGAAGAGAGCTGGTCTTAACATCAAACCAATTCAATACGAGGATATGAGTGTCCGCGAGAGAGTGGAAGCTCGTAAGCGCGATGCTCAGAAACAACGAAATGGTAAAGATAAAAGTCGATCGATGAAAAAGACCACTGCTAAGGTGTAAAAGCAATAGGTGGTGTAATTCTTTTCAACAAATTTTGTAGACTATATTTATAATTTATGTGACAAGAGTGCATCCTTTAAAATTAATTTATGTTTTTTTTCATTTTTCCCACACCACACCTTTTCCGAAATGAATTTGTATTTGTAATTTTTTTTTTCTCGACGTTTCTTCAGACATGATTTGACTTCTACTGCAACAAATGTCTATCTCTAAAATATAAGCAAACATCAATTTATTTTTAAAAATTATATCTACCAACACTTTTTTTCGTAATAACTAAGAAATATTAAATTTTATTAAATAATTTATATTTTGTAAAATTAATAAAATTTTATCAGCCCCAAATGTATTATTTCACAAAAGGCCATGAAATTGCGTTGAAATTGGGCCTTCAAAAGCCCATTTAAGGCCCAAAGAATAAAACTCCAGAAAACAGAAAATTATTAAGCAAGAAAAAGGAAAAAACAAAAATCAGGAAATACAGAAAAGCGAAACCCTCGGTGGAAGAAGAGAGAAAATTCGGCAGATAAAATCCAGAAGAGAAGGTCTTCCGGCAAGCAATCAAAGATGGTGGAAGTTAACAAAGCTGAGATTCCAGCAAAGTATGATTTGAACGCGAAATGGGATGCCTGTCTCGATTTAGGTCTTCGCCGCTTTGTGTACGCGTCATTATCCGGCGGCTTCGCCGGACTTCTTCTCTTTCGTGAGTTTTCCTCCATTTCCTCCATTTTATTTAGCTATGTCGTTGCTTTGAGTGCGATAGATTTGATATCAGAGTATGAATTAATAATTCGTATTATAGCTATAAGAATCCCTAGATCGTGTTTTCTGGCACTGGTTTCTTTAATTTGGATAATTAGCTGAATTATCGAATTATTTCTTCTATTGCATTATGTTTGTTGAGATTACAGGTTATTGTGTCACTGCATACCACAAATTTTACACTATACTGTTTGTTCCGTAAAGTACTGATATGAAAACAGGGAATATCGAAACAGAATTCGTCATGTGCCTCGGGCCCTCATTCGTCGATACGCGGTTGTTGGTTAATAGATGTAGCTGTTACTCTATTCTCTTGCTAGTTTGATGATTGCCTAGGGATTTAATTTGTTTTTTTGCAAGAGATCTGCAATTAATGATTGTGGCAGCATTTTCCGTGGTATTGTAGTTGTTGCTCCAGTTTTGTATTGTTCAGTCTTTAGGTTTTTTGTTAATATTCATGATATTACTTGCTAAAAGTTAATCAAAAATGTTCGTCGATGCAGAATGAATTTTGTTTATCTTTTTCCTTGGATTTTCTAAGTCAATGATAGGTTGCAGAATTAGCATTTAGTAGAACTTCACATCATGTTAGGAAAGAGCATCATAAATTTCCCGTTTCCTTGTAAATCTTTTTGATGCCGTTTATGTGGAATGATGAATGTATCTGTAACATTAATCTTTATCTTATCAATCAATTTGACCGAGCTGCTATTTTCTTGGTTTTTTGCACCAGGAAGTCCCGTGACACGCTGGGCTTCTGTAGCTTTCGGTGCTGGTGTGGGGATTGGTTCTGCATACACAGACTGCTCTCGTAAATTTGGTGGCTCTCCAACAAAATTGACTGACATTTCTGATTCTTCCCATTCTAAGGTAAATATATGTAACTGATGATTGTATTACTCTCTCTTTTTTTCTCATCTGGGTAGTTTAATGTTCTGAACGTTGTTCTTTTCCGCTTAAATTCATCTGAAGATATGAGATATCGCATAAAAATCATGGGGTCTTTTCTGAAATACGATTGGTGTGAATTTTGAAGCTAATATGAATGCACGATTTGATGAGTTGTCTCTTTGTATTCCCCTTACCTTCCGTTTAGATATTTTCTTGTTGTCCATCTCCATTTACATGTTTACCAAGCTTTTTGCAGTTGGCATTACCAAATCGAATTATGTATGCTAAAGAATTTATTCTGATTTAATGCAGGCTGCAGAGGAATGAAACCATCATTATCTGGCATGTTTTTGCTTTGCTTCCATTTCCCTTTCAATTGTCTTTTACTCGGAGAATGTGTTCCCAGGATTATTTTGTCCTTTATCGTTGAAAAATAGTGATTAATTGCGATATTTTCATGAATGCTCACTCTTCTGTTGGAGGTAATTCCAATAAATACCTGGTACTACAAAATGGAGTTATGCTATATATTTTTTGAATACTGAGCTGAGAGCTACAGTCGCAGTTGCTTTATTTCTTATACGAGCAATCTATGTTTCCACAATTATATGGTGCTTTTGGAGTAAATGTTCGTAATATGATGCTGTAAAATTATCGAACATTGGATCGAGATATGCTTCTGAAAGATTTCATAATTGAGAAGAGCTGTTTCATCAAAATAAAACATATAGCTACAAAGTTAAAACATATAGTATAACAATGGTTATTGAACTGAATCTTCTTTTGAAATAAATCTAACTTCAGTTAATAATACTTCATCGAATTATGAGCCACTGTTCTGATCGAGATCGTACAATTCGATTCATGCTCTTTACAATTCAAATCTTACGATTTATGGCACCGATTATTTTATACTTCGGAGTACAAGATCAAAAATTGAGAATAAAAATAAAAAAATAGTGTAATCATGATAGGTTTCTAGTTTATTATTTTGAATATTTTGCTTCTCTTTGAAAATTGTTCATGTCTCTTAATATGAAATCAAATTAATTTTTAATTTGCTCTATATTTTAATGATTACAGTAAAATTAGTAACCTCAATTAAATAATAATTTCTCTCGATCCATACGCGGTGAAAACATATTAAGTGGTTAGTTCGATAATTTAACATATCGCTAAATTAATTAGATTTTGCTAGTCCCGACTGTATTCTATTTAATGAATGCTAAACATTCCAAACAATCGGGCCCAGCAGCCCAAGCATAGGATAGAGTTAGGGCCGAAATCATTGTGCAAAGCCCAAAGTTGAAGCCCATTGGGTCAAGGGTGGATTAGGTTAACACGAATATAAATACACATTAGGGTTTGGTTTTCATTTCTCAGTATCGCCTGCTCCCTCACGCACACATCACACAGCCGAAGAAGCACACTCTGAGCTGCGGAAATGGCGCCGAAGCAGAGAACCCGCAACCCCGAGCTCATTCCCGGAGTCCGAAAGGTCTCCCGCTCCGCCATGTACCACAAGCGTGGTCTTTGGGCTATCAAGGCCAAAAACGGTGGCAAATTCCCCCACCACGAGAAGGCCGTCGCCGCCGCTCCCGTGGCTGAGAAGCCTCCTAAGTTCTATCCCGCCGATGATATCAAAAAACCTCTCTCCAACACACGCAAGGCCAAACCCACCAAGCTCAGGTTTTTAATTTTTTTTTTTTTGGTGAAATGCTGTAAATTTACTGCGTAATCGATTTATGCCTTGTGTTAATTTTTATTCTTCTGTGTTGTTTTTTTATTATTACAGGGCGAGCATTACCCCAGGGACAGTGTTGATCATATTGTCTGGGAGGTTTAAGGGCAAGAGAGTTGTCTTCCTCAAGCAGCTTTCTTCTGGATTGCTTCTTGTCACTGGTTAGATTTGTTTTTTCTTCGATCTCATTATTTTGTTGTATTTATTTCTTTTCCTGGATATTTTTATTGTTTCGCCCTGATTCATAAATTGTTAGATATTGTAGAAATTCGTGATTTAAATTGATTACCGATTTAGGGATTTTTTTGAGCTAATCGTTTCTGAAAATTTACTTGTCTTAATCGTATGTCTTAAAATCAGTTGAATTTCTATTGATTAGGTGTTGTGACTTTTGTAGCTAATTCTTTAGTGAAACTTAGTTAGGTCTTTTCTCATCACCTAATCGAAATTGCAATAAAGAGTTGCCATTAATTTTTACATTATCAAAAATTTTGAAGCTATGAAGTATTATTTCAAGGAAATGAATAGTTATGTGCAGTGTTAATGCCTTGTCCTATTGTTTTTGGTGATTCTACTTGTCTATTTGAAACAACGACGATTAAATATTTTGGGGCAAGTTATATTAAATTCTTGTATGACCCAGTTTAATCAAATCGTCGAATAAAAATGCACTTCTGTTGATAGTGTGTTTGAGTCATTCTATTTGGCTCACTCGCACATTCCGGAAGGGCTGTTCTCATATCCTATTGCCTTGAGTAGCAGGTTACCGCAATTACCTTTTGGGACTTGCCATGAGACATACATTTGTTTATTAATTGTCTACTTTAAACTGTTAACAACAAATTTGGCCTTAAGCTAAGGCTGTTTTGGAAGTGATTGTGTACATTGTATTTAACATGTCTTAATATATTCATTTTCTTACGTGTACTTTTTGCTTCTTAGTACTGTGTTTAGATACCGAACTGGGTGGTTCTTGAAATAGCCTAATTTTCTTTAATTGCTTCTGATACAGGTCCTTACAAGATCAACGGTGTTCCCCTAAGGCGTGTGAACCAGGCCTATGTTATCGGAACATCTACAAAGGTTGACCTTTCTGGTGTGAATGTTGAGAAGTTTGATGACAAATACTTCGCCAAGCAGGTTGAGAAGAAAAAGGAGAAGACAGAGGCTGGGTTCTTCAAGGGACAAGAAGAAGTATGTTTTTCTATTGCCATCCATTTTTTATTTATTTATTTATGGTGGTGGTTATTATATAACTTACATTTATATATATATATATATATATATATATACATATATTCTAATTATTTGTTTTTATTTAATTGTAGGAGAAAAATTCGCTCCCCACTGAGAAGAAAGATGACCAGAAAACTGTAGATGCAGCTTTGTTGAAGACACTCGAGACTGTCCCAGAATTGAAGGCTTATTTGGGTGCTCGATTCTCACTCAAGGCTGGGATGAAGCCTCATGAGTTGGTGTTTTAGACGAAACGCTTTTTCGAATTTTTAGATCTGATTTTGTTATATTTTATTTACCTTTCGACCCTTGAACCAAATGTTGAAGATTGTAGTATCAAGAACATATATTGCTTGGTATGACATTGAAATTTTGTTTGGTACTCTTTTTATTGTTTCTGTCACTAGATTTCTTGATATGTTTTATGTTCCGAAAAGTGTTGAAATGTTTTATGTTCTTAATTATACTTTTGATCAGTTTTTGATCGTTGTTCGATATGTCTATTATGTCTATTTATCACGTAAGCTTTCTTGGATGTTACCTGCTTAGGAATGCTGTCTGAATAATTTAGATGGCAATGTAAGAAATTTTACAAGCAATTCATTTATTACAATCAAGAATCAATCCATTATAAATGCTTGGTAATGTTGTGCATATTCATATCTTGGTAAATTTGGTTCAACTGAATAAGGTTGTATACAGAATTCTTATGGAAGAGAAAGATTAGCCAACCATGGGAGCAACTTCTCATGGACCAAATCAGGCTTGTCATCATGTGGACAATGTCCAACTCCTTCCAATAAAAACAGCTTCACGTTCGTCAGTCGATCAGCTAACGAAGTAAAGTATTTACCAACCGGCCCGTCAATCGGTGTAAACGGATCTGCATCGCCCCATAACACCAAAACGGGTAGGGTGATATTCGGGATCAAATTCACTGGATTCGGTCCAGGTGGTCCTGTGATAATCGAAACAAATGCATCCAGTGCCCCTTCATCCAGTGCCGGTTTCCTAATAATCTGCAATGTTATAAATCCAATCAAAATTTATATCTAAACTCGGAGAAATATTACAAATTTAAATTTATTGTAGTACCTCCACAAGATCTTCATCAACGGATTCCTTATTCCCGTAGACGGACAATAACACATTCCTCAGCGTCTCTCTGCACAAGTTACGGACAAGTAAATGACAAACTCATGTTTTTCCCGCTTCCTCAGCAACTTTCGCTATCCGAAAAACGGGAGGGAAAAAAATTGAAGTACCTTTGTCTAACACGGTCGAATAAGTAAGAAGCAATTCCTCTTTGCTTCAATAAGAAGTCGAAAAACCAAAGCAAAGGTAAGAGTAGCTTTATTCTCCAGTCATCAACTATAGCCTTGTTATTCATGCCACCAGAACAATTGAACAGCACGAGCCCTCGTACTTGCGATTGGCTAGATTCTGTTAGGGGAATTGAAATAAATTAAATTAAACCAATGGTAACCGAACGTAAGTATTTTTTTTAATATTTTTTTTTTTGTTATTGAAAAACACCTGAAGCGGCAATAACGCAAGCAAGACTACCGACAGAGTTCCCCAATAGCACAGTTGGCCTTTGGACAATTTCGTCCAAGAAATCGAGAATCAACTGCACGTATTATTAGTTCATTATTTGTCATAATCGAAAGAACAAAAGAACTTCATATTATTAGTTCCTACGAGGATATATAAATAATAAATACCGGAAAATATTGGCTGTCATCTATTCACCTGAGCCCAGATTTCCATGGTGTACTGAAAGCCCGCGGGCTTATCTGAAGCACCAAAACCGATGAGGTCAATGGCGTAAACTGTCCGATTTTGTGCAAGCGTCGGAATATTCCTAAAAAACGATGGATAGTGCTTAGGGAGAAGCCACTTACTAATTCACTCAAATGTTTGAGTTTGACTAGAATGTAAGAACAAGATGATCTAATAAAAGGATACTTATTTCAGCAATTAATTTTTTTATTTTTTTAAATCTCAAAATTCTAATTTCAACTTTTTTTAAAGTTGTTTAGTGGAGGAACTTTTATCAAACACATGGTGATCAACCTACTCATAAAGAATGTACTCCACAAGATAAACAAAATTAAAAGCAAATATAATAATGTTCATTCTTAATCTGATACAATGTTCATTATATATATATATATATATATGTACCTGCGCCAATGAGCAATCGACGCGCCAAAGCCATGGACGAGAAGAAGCGGAGGAGCCGGAGCAGCAGCGCCACCACCGCCGCCGCCGCCGTCGCCGTCTGGGTAAACGAAGTAGTTAATGGTATATCCTCTCCACACCCATTTTTTGCAGTTGCCATCAATTTCGCTCACCTCCAGAGGAGGCAAAAACTCCTCCTTTCCGGTGGATAGCGCCGCCGTGGATGCGGCGGAGACATTAGCACAACTAGTGGTGGAAATGGGACTCCTGGAAATCTTCCTAGAAGAAGGAAAGCATGTGGGATTGAGCTGTACTTGCAGAGCAGATGACGAAGATGATGATAACTGTGAAAATGGCAGAAAGTAAGTGTGTGCTGCAGCAATGTTTACTGCCATTACCGATCAATTTTCTTTTTTTATTTAGTAGTGGAAATATTCAGTCCCTCCAATTTTAAGAAGATATATATAATATAGTATATTATGGAATAATTGACAGTAAATTCAGAGTTGAGAACTTGTAAGAAACAAGAGGCACTAAATTCGACAGCAGGTGAAGATTTTGATTTGTCTGCAATATTTCTTTTTATTTTTTTTTTGAATTAATTAATTATTATAATATTAAATGGGCTTTGACATTGTCAATTGGGCCAATCAGGTCAATATTAGTAGTTGGGCCTTCTGATGGGTCGGAGTTGGGATTAGGGTCCATTTAATTATTGTTTGCGATTAATATGGTCAAATTACGAAAAAACCTCTTATGTTTGGGTAGTTACAGTCACCCCCTCAACTATGAATTTTCATACACATCAACTCTTATAGTATCAAATTCAACATAATCTTCTAAATTTCATGGAATGTTCTCTAATTTATACACGTTTTATGCAAAAATGCAGTTTCTGATGCACCACAATTTGATAGTTACAAGCCAATAGACACATCGTACGATCATGTTGTTTCAAAATATGGAGCTCGAATAGTGTAGAACGGATTCAAACTGGAGAATATTCCATATAATCTAGAAGATTTCACTGAATTTGACAAAACAAGGGTAAACATGTAAAATATTCATAATTAACGGATGATTGTAATTATCCAAACATGACGGGTTTCTTCCTAATTTTACCTTAGCTGAGGGGTGACCGTAATTTACCCTATCTTATATTATTTTAAAACACCAATGTTGTAGTAATTGTCTTTTTTTTTTTTTTTAGTAAAATATTTATAATATTTTCTTTTGTATTATTTAAACAGGAAATTAAATAATTGGATATAAATGTATAAAATTGGAAAAAGTAAGGGATAAATATTGAAGTGGGCCAAAGCCCATCATTTAAGAGGGGACATAGGATTCTGTCATCCGTCCATTACCGTCACGCCCCCTCGTGTTATTAGCAACCCTAACCAATTGACACCTCACCAACCGCGTCACACTTTCTCTCTCTTCCCTCTCTCTCTCTCTCTCTTCCGTTTGCCCCAAAAGTAATTAAACATAATAATAATAAGTTAATTAGAGAATCTTACTCATTAGTCCAACAATTAATTAATTATTAAGCTCTAACCAAGTACAGAATTTTAAAACCCTCAAAGCTGAAAACTCAGCTCACTGTTTCAAATTTTCAGCTAAATCCTCTCTCGCATAAAGAATCAAAAGCTTAAAAAAAATGGCAGACGAAACACTCCGAACATGCCCACCAGAAGCCACCGTAGATCCCCCGCCGCCGCCGTCGACGGTGGAGGAGGTCGAAACGCCACCGCCGCCACAAGAAGAGTATCCCATCTTCGAACCGCCGCTGGCGTCGGTGGCGCTAGACGTGCAAGAAAAAGACACCGCACTCCCCTCACCGCAGCTCGAAGTTGAAGAAGAAAAGCTGATAGACGCAGTAACTATTACACAGAAAGAAACCCCTTTAGTGCCGACGCTGTCGTCGGTGGCATCGTCGCTCACGGAGGAGCACGTCACCGTCACCGCCGCGGCGCCGGTATCATCCCAGCCGCTGGCTGCTGCTCTAGCCGTACCCCAAGAATCCGATTCACCAAAAACCCAATCGAAAGAGTCAATTGAACCCGAAAAGGAGTACCCGGTCGAAAAGAAAAAAGCCCCAGAATCATTCGCTTCTTTCAAAGAAGAAAGCAACAAACTCTCAGATCTCTCAAATTCCGAGCTCAAAACCCTAGAAGAGTTCAAACTATTAGTCCAAGAAGCTCTCACTAACGGTGTCTTCACTGCAGCCTCGCCGTCAGAAACTTCCGTTACCACCACCACCCCCGAAGAAGTCTCCATATGGGGTATACCCTTGTTGAAAGACGACAGAAGTGACGTCATCCTCCTCAAATTTCTCCGTGCCCGTGATTTCAAAGTCAAAGAATCTTTCGCCATGCTCACGAACACGATGAAATGGAGGAGGGATTTCAATGTTGACGAGCTGGTGAAAGAGGATTTAGGAGATTATCTCGAAAAAGTTGTGTTTATGCAGGGGCACGACAAAGAAGGCCACCCCGTGTGTTACAATGTGTACGGGGAGTTTCAGAACAAAGAGCTGTACGCCAAAACATTTTCCGACGAGGAGAAGCGGAACACGTTTCTGAGGTGGAGGATTCAGTTCTTGGAGAGGAGTATTCGGAAATTGGATTTTAATCCAGGTGGGGTTAATACGATATTTCAGATTAGTGATCTGAAAAATTCGCCTGGACCGGGGAAACGGGAGCTTCGTATTGCTACTAAGCAGGCGCTGCACATCCTGCAGGATAATTATCCGGAATTCGTCGCGAAGCAGGTAGAAAACGATTTCACTTTCTTATTGGATTTATATGTTTGAGGTATTACTGTATTAGTGTATATATCACAATATCTCGTTAGGGTTTTGCAGAGTGTTTTGTTTGAATTGATTAATTAGCAAGAAAAAACGGAGGATGCAGTAGTTATGGTTGTGTTCTTAGGCCTTGTTTGGTTGGTAAGATTGATTAATTAAATAATTGGATCTTGTTGGATGTTTGGTTAGAGAGCAAGAACTTTTCGATTCGGACGCAGTTGTGAAAATAGTAAAACTCTAATCTTGGCTAATTGGATTAGACTAATTGCTAATATAAGATAGGTACCAAACGAGGCCTTAGTAAAATTTATTCGTAGATTTGACTTGGAAATCTCTTGTGTAATATCATTTCGTTTTTCGAATGATCTAAACATGTTGAGGAATTTAATTAAGTTGATGTCACCGGTTGCTTATGCTTATGGTGTTTTACGCGTCGCTAGAGTTTAATTTGATCGGTCGCTATTGTAATTTGATCTTCATGCTTATTATTTTAGGTCTTCATCAATGTTCCATGGTGGTACTTGGCTTTCTATACGATGATTAGTCCCTTCCTCACTCAGCGAACGAAGAGCAAATTCGTATTCGCCGGTCCATCGAAGACTGCCGATACCCTTTTCAAGTGTGTGAATTTTTTCCCCTTCCTTGAAATTCGAATAATTATTTCTAATTTCTCTTGTAGTCGCAGTAATCTTCCTTTTAATTATTTACCGGTGAAAAATCAGGTATATAGCACCAGAACAAGTGCCAACTCAATATGGTGGCCTAAGTGTAGATTTCTGCGAATGCAACCCGGAATTCACCGTAGATGATCCTGTCACTGAAATCACCGTTAAACCCGCAACTAAGCAAATTGTCGAAATTATCGTAAACGAGGTTCGTCAAAAGGGCATTTAGGTCATTTATATTTCCATCTTATTATTGGCAATTTTTATTTAATTGGAAATTTGATTTATTTTTTTATAGAAATGCACGCTTGTTTGGGAGCTTCGTGTGGTGGGGTGGGAAGTGAGCTACAGTGCGGAATACGTACCGAATTCCGGATATACTGTGATTATAGAAAAGACGAGAAAGCTGCTTCCGAGCGATGAACCGGTTATTTCGAACAATTTTAATATAAATGAGCTGGGTAAGATACTACTCACCATTAACAACCCTACTGCCAAAAAGAAGAAACTGCTTTACCGGTTTAAGGTTGTACCTTGCATCGGTTGAGGTACAAGCGTACGAAGCTCTAGTTTCGGCCTAAAGATGTGTTTGGTGTTTTGTGTATTTCAGTTGTAGAATTATTGTTGTGAGTGAAGGGAAGAAGGGTGAATTTTTGTTTTGATCTTTTGTTTGTTTGTTTTGTAATGAAGCATTTGATTTGATGTGATTTTATAATTTTATGTGGCAGTGGTTGCTTAGACCTTTTACCTATCATTAACCCGTCATTAGTCTATTCGTTAATCATGTCATTACTCCGAAAATGAAAATGAAAAGAAAAAATATGGAAAATTATACTTGCAACAATAATAAAAAGGGTAAATTACAATCACCTCTGAGGTTGGTAGATTTATGGAAAAAAACCTCTTTTGTTTAGATATTTACAATTATGATCTTTTCTTACACTTCTACTTTTATGGTGTCAAA